AATTATTATGCTGTACTGAACAAACAATTCAGCAAATTTTTGATATAAATTATTTATAATAGTGAGGATATAATCACTACTATACTTGCAGAATCATCATTTTGCTTCACATTTCTCTTATGAGAAAGCATATATTTTATTATGGTTTGAAAAACTGGAAGGTTTGCAGACTACATTATAGTTACTCATGAGAAACACAAAAAATTTGATTAATAATGTATTTGAAAAATTAAACTGCTTAATAAATAACTAGTCATCACAGAGATGAGAAAGTAAGTGCCACCTAAAAATCTAACAATCATCCAATTATCACTTTTGTGTTAGATTTGTCATAGAATTGACTATTTATGAGACCACTAGTCACACAAACAATTGAAAAGATAAGAATTGTAAATAAAAATTATTGTGTTAAAAATAATGTACTGACTCAATCCTTTCTGACATTAAGATTCAATAAACATAAATTTCATGTTGTTGTTATCAATATCCGAAAGTATTAATCACAAATATGTGGATCACATAAATTGTAATCTTAATTTCCTTTAAAAATACAATGGAATTCCTTTTCATCTCAATAGAATAAATAATACATAATTAAAGAGATCTGAAACAGTGTGTTTAAAAGAATTTCATAATACACTTCTTCTTCTGCAGAAAAATTTATGATTGGAATCATACACATTTTCGAACATTTTCTTATTTAACATATAAAACAACTAAATACTCTTATTGCAATCGGAATGTTACCCAAATGAATTAAGTTGCTTTCTTGAGAATTTAATACAATTTTTCCAAATAGATAAATTGGATGGATACTTAAACCTTTAACTTCCATATTTGAACCCATTGAAATTTTTTTCTTTGGAATTATTTATGCAAAAATAAAACAAAATATCTGTTTCATAGATTTGTTAATTATCATTATTACTTTGTTTATAGAAGATATACAATAAATATTTATGAATTGGTTTTTCTCTTTTTAGATATTTCTGTCACTAATATAAACTCTGAGCAAAACCATAAATGCAATAAACAAGTCTCCAACATATTTTAAACAATTTTTAAATGAAATCTTATATATGTTTTTAGAAATGTATTACCATTCAATATTTTTTTCTTGAAAGTAATATCAAGCTAAAACTGAATACAAATACAACATACTGTATACTTTTTGTTTCTTCCATAAATATAAGATGGTAATCATAAGCACTAAATTGTTCTTTTTCCTAAAAGTAAGCTGATGGTATATGAAGCAATTAAAATAATTTTTAACCAAGATCATTTGTAAGAATTTTAAATGCTGATAAAAACAGTTTTTGTCGCCATTAAACCAAAAAAATAGAATCTTCTTATAGATGAATATTTTCTAAGATTTCTTTAATCAACAAATTCCATTTAAAAACATAAGAGAGATTTTTTTGAAAAATAATCATTGCATAAAAATATTTGATACAAATATATCACTTTTTTCCAGTATAACAAATACTTTTTTTAATCTTGTAAATATTTAATGATAAATCTCTTAAATCATAGGATTAAATCAAACTTGTTAAAATTATATTGAGCTTTTTATTGTTTTTTAAATCATTTAATTTTTAGAATTATTTTTCGTTATATTTGTTTAATCCTAATGATTGCCTGCTTAAATGACCCATGTAATTTTTAATTTAGAATTGTCTATAAAATTGTGATCTTAAATACAATTCAATGCCTAAAGTAAAGCATTTTATCAATTATCCTTGAAACAGAAATTTTGTAAAGTATAAAATGACAGTTGACACAAATTTGAACAATCAGATGAGTTTAAACATTGGTTTTAAATCGGATTATATTACTATTACTATTATTAATTAAATGCTAAGTAATTTGGTCCTGGAAGCAGGCATTAGGTGCCATCTCTTGCTAAATTTACTTACTTGTTAGCATTTAATTAATAATAGAAGTAGTAAAATAGCCCAATGTAATCTGGCAATCATTTGGCTTTAATATATAACTAATATAAACATCTTAAACTTGATAGTTTCAAAATAAATAAAATTAATTCAAATATGTCTAAATAATAGAAATAAATTACTAAAGAACAATTATCCAAAATTAAATCTCCAATTAAATTAAATTAAAAAAAAGTAAACCTTTCTTTTTTATATAAAATTTCCATATTTTCAATCATAATTATTCAGTCTTATTAATTAAATATTTTAATTAATTTTAAATTATATTATACAATCATTTCTTTTCATTTAGTCTTAAAATTATTATGTACTGTACTTTAGTACTATGATTGTTATTAAATAATTATGGATTTAGACCACACTGTTAAGTTTTAAATTAATAACATAATAATTTTTTGAAAACGTTATCCATATATTTCAATATATTTGTAAAAATTATTTTAAAAATTGTATTTATTGTATTTAACAAAATTATTTAATATCATGTATTTGATTAATCTATTTAGTAAAGAAAATTAATGAGGAATTGTAAAACACAACTTTAATTAAAATAATTTAAAAAACTGTTCCCTTCACTAACTGCATTCATATTAACCATAACACATTACCTTTTCTCAATGCAGTAAATGTTTATTTTTCTAATGTTAATAAAAACAAAGCTGTAACTTATTCTAATTAATAAGTTACAGCTTTGTTTTTTTGTAAATTGTAAATTTAAGTTATTTCCTGGAGAAGGTCAATTAAAAAGGACAAAAACATTAGAAAAATAAACATTCACTGCATTGAGAAAAAGTAATGTGTTGTGTGTAAAAAACTGTTACTGTCATTTATGTATGTTTTCTATAAAATTTGTTAAAGAATACATTTTCATTTTTAAAAGTTAAAAATTACTTTAAAAGGATATCATACTTTTGATAAGAAACCATTTTTTATATTATGTTAAAAAACATTAACAAAATTTAATGCATTACATAAATTTCAATGATATTAAATCCAAAATATTATATTTCTTTAGTAATATATTAAACACTTTTTGTTTTGTAAATAATAGATTATTTTATGTTTTATTCTAACAAATAACAAATCAAAATAAACAATAATGAACTACATCATTTTAAATTTTATCACTTAATTATTAAATAAATTTTAAAATATTACATTTAAGAGAAAAAGTTTTCCTTTTATTTATATTTCTTCAAATATTTAAATATTATATTAAGAAAATACTCTAAATTACAAATAAATTGCTTTTAATATTTCATTAAATATTTAGTTATTTAAATAAATGATATTTAAAAGAAAATTTATAATTCTTCACAAAATAAGATTTAGTAAAAAAAAAGCATATTATTTATTGACATTTTATAAAGATTTATAAAATATTTATTAGTATATTTGTTTAAAATTAAGAATGAACAGACAAAACTTATTGATTAATTAAACTTTAAATAACTTATTATAAAAAGCAGATTCATAAAAATTTCTTATTTATAAAACTAACTGAAGTATTAAAAATGCATCTGTTAAAATCTTAATGTAAATTACAGTACTGTTGTTTATTGTAGACAAAGTGCTATGAATCTTTAATCATGAAAATGTTTTTCTATTGCATAGAATTATTATTTCTATATAATAGGAAATCTGTTTATAAACATTTTCAAAAATATTCTAGTACATAATATAAAATTTGAGTTTTCTTTTAAACAAAATTAATAACAGAACTATCAAATATTATTCAAAAAACATCAAACTTTTAATTAATATATGAATGTAGAAAACTAACAAAATTTGATTTTTGACTGCCTTAAAATATTAAAATTAAATACTTTAGACATAGAATGTTAAAATGATTCATTTTAAATTTGAAAAAAATCTGTTAAGGAGAAAATTCTTAGTTTTTTAAGTAAGAATGTTTAAACATTTAATTGATAAAAACTGTAAGAAAATTTCTTAGTGTAATTAATTGAGAAAACCTGAATTTATGATGGCATTATTTCATTTATTCTTTATAACTTATTAAATGCTGACATTTTGACAAATATTTTAAGTAAATACAATCTGATAACAACAAACAGTAAAAGCATTTGAATTTAATTGTTTTTCAATTTTAATTTAATTTTTGTTGTTTATAATTCTGTAACTAGTTTAAAACAATTAGAATATTTAATCAATTTTTCATTAAATTATTTTCTTTGGAATGTGTATTAACATATCCATCTATTATTCAGTTATTAATTTAATGTTAAAAATTTTTTTTTTAATTTTATAAATGAATGTTTAAAAATAAATCTGTTCTCCAAACATAAATATTCTATCATAAATGGTAAAATGAGAAAAAACAAATAAATAATTTTAAAAGTTCAAAAAATTTCTAATTGTAATTAAATATTAGAAATACTGTCTATATTAATTAATTTTTGATAAAAGTTAAAAACATAAAAATTCTTAAAAATAATTTTTAGTGTAAGTAGATAATATATAAAATGAATTTGAAAAATTAAATTCAAAATAAATATAGCTCATTAAAATTTAAAAATCAAAGTAGTTATAAAAATATGAAGAGAGATAATTGATGAAAATTTTAATAATTAAATGTTCAATTAAAAAAAGAAATAACTGAACAATTTGGTTATATATTATGAACTAAAACTAATGTTGATTAAAATATTATCCATTTTACCTGGAAAATATTTGTTATATAATAATTTTGCTGGTTGTAATTTAGTTCATTGAAAAAGAAAATTTTCAATTTAAATTAAAGAAAATTAAAATGATCTAATTTAAAAAAATAGTAGTATTTCTCACAGCCATCAGTAACTTCAAAAAAGAAAAATCTCTATCCAGATTTGAGTAATAAAACTTTCATATATCAATTTTAAAAAATAGCATAAAAACATAGTACATGTATTTAGTTTTATAATATTTAAATATGATCATTTGAAATGATCATATTTAAATATTGTAGTTGGTATTTTCCCCGAAAGATATTCTTCTAATATCCATATAATTACTTTCTAACATTTATAAAAATAAAAATTTTAAATTCACCTCCTAATTTATTACGTGAGGCAGCAGGAGGTTCTGATGTTGTTCTTCTACTTTGTTTAGTTCTTGATTTTATTTCAGCTTTACTAGGAATAGCAACATGATGAGTTCGATAATATTCTGGTGTACGTCCTTGCTAAAAATAAATATAATTATGAAAGTAAGTTTGATAAAGTAAGCAACATATTTGAGATTGAAAACTTAGAAAATTTTAATTAAGTGAATAACTGATTATGCATACTTTATTATAAAATTATATTATATATTTATATGTATACAGTTGAACCTTCCAACCCAACACTTGTGAGACCAAAGAATTGTGTCAGATTATCAAGGTTGTCAGATTACTGAAACAGTACTCAAAAAGTGCTTAAAATTCATTCATTAAAAAAAGCAGAAATCTTACAGTTTAATGATAACAATCATTTTCAGTGTCTGCTTTCAAAGACAATACTTGATTTAACAAAGACAGTTCTTTTTCTTGAGAATAAACAAGTTTGTTTATTCATTTTAGTACTTCAGTATGGATAATTATTTCATTTGTTTTCCTTCTATTCCATTGATTTCATTCATTACCTCAGGACAATATTGATGTAATAAATTATCTTCTCAATCTGGTAAAAATCTTCTATTGCAACTATTTCTTCAAACACTAGCATTTCTGCCTGTGACACTTAGTAATATATTGACAATTGCTGCAGCCCAGATATGATGGTGTAAACCATTACCCAATGCCTTTGTTGGTAAAACACCCCTATGATAGGTTCTGAAGTAGGGTTATATGAGGTCCCAGAAATAGTTTATAATTAAAAAGGAAATGTATATTTATTAAATTAAACCATCGAGAAAACAAGTAATATAAGTGTCAAGACTGCGACACCTGACTTTGACATCATCGCTCATAAAGAATAGAGGGAAAACAATATTTAGAATAAAAGAAAATAAAAAGAGGAAATTGTTTAAAACTTAAAACACAATAAGAAAAAGGAAGCGATGAGACACAATATGAGTGCAGGTGTCTTAGTCATCANTATTATTCATATAATTGAAGTTTAATTACTTTTTATAAAAGAATTTTTGTAAATATCAGGTTCAGGTTCATTGCTATCAAATGTTGATATTTTTTATAAATAAGTTTAGGCACATTTGACATGTACACACAAAATGCACTACATGTTTTTGCATAATGTTATCATACACCATATTAATGCATTAAACGCAATGCATGACAAATGGGAATTATTCTGAGTATATATAATATAATTTTTGAAAACTTTTCCATACTTCAAAATGAGATTGTAAAAAGACCAAAAAATATTAAAATTAACTATCTTCTAAATTTTTCACACTTGTGGAATCAATACACACTCATTGTAGTGTTCCCAATTTCTGTTGACCCTTCTTTCAATGGAGGAATTCAGCTTGAGACATGATTTGCACTACTAAAAGAGTAGAATCATTTTACATGTTAACAAGTGACATGAAAATTCTTCCACTGGCAATAATGAACAATTGTGGACAATGTGCTGACATTGAATAAGACAATGTGCACTAATACATTTTGTGTACCCATGCTGAATGTCTTTTAAATCAATGATTACATTTCTACCAGATTATATTAAGTTAAGAATATCTGATTTTACCCTTTTTTTCTTTTGATTATTATGAAACTAAATACTATTGATTGTATTTCTAATCTTGAAACTTATAGTAATGTGTACTGAAGACATATTTAATTATAATTTAATATATAATTTATAATTTAATATTTAATTTATAGCCATTTTTAAGAAGTCCATTTAAATTTAAAAATTAAATTACATTTGGATCAATTTATAATAGCAAGAATATTTAGAAAATATCAGTTTTGTCTAATTTGTTAAAAAAGAATAAAGTGATATTTTTACAACTTCTAAAGTATCTATCTCAAATTTTAACACACTTTTATGATGAGTACTGAAAATATTTCCAAATCACAATTATATATAATGCATTTAAGAGTACAGAAATTTTCATATGTATGCATATTCTTAACTCATTTATTTAATGTCTTTTCAATATAAAACTTTACTGGGTTAATTATTATTCTATTTTAAACTTTATATTATTTTAATACATAATACTGCAACTGCTAAACTGTTTCAAAACTATGAATTTCAAGCATACATTATGTTAAATATTATTTATTCAAACTATATAATAATATATAGCAATAACATAAATTTCAATGAAATACTGTAAATATCAAATCAATAATATGGTATTTTAAAATTCTAATTAAAACTTTATTATTAGAGGAAAAGGTGGTATTATGGAACACTGCAGGTATTATGGAACCACTCCTTTCGAACTGATAATAAAGGCAAACTGTAGCGGATTGTGGCTGAACTGAACTAGGCAGACATCCATAGCAAGGTTTTCCCCTTGTTGTGCACAACCGTTTAAGTGAAGTGAAATGGTTGTCCGTAGTGAATCAGCAAATTTGTGTTTTTCAAAATTTTCAAATTTTGAATGCTAAGTGAATTTAATTATTTTTAAAATATAAATCGTGTAGTTGTAGGTTCACTGGTGCATGTATTCCATTCCAGAGACTTAGAGATACATATTAATCTGTGTGATGTTCACGTTTTTTAAAATTTGATCTTGACAGACATAAGTTAATTCAAGATGCAATTCCATTGGTGCTTTTAATATGGAACCCAACTGCTCTGGGAACACAACTCGTCCGAACTCTCTATTTGCAAGCAGACATTCATCGGAGCAATGTGTGAAAAAGACACTAGGTAGAAAGCCAATTCTTCCTGAGAATATTGAAAAAGAGCTGCTAGAATATATATTGTTGATGGAGGTCATATTTTTCTATTATAAAAGCATTTTTTCGATAAAATACATTGGAGTAAATAATTTTGTAATTATTTAACATTCTTTGTATTTTCCTATTTGTTTTTGGATACATTAAAGCATTTTTTGAAAACATACAGTAAGATTCCATATTACCACCCGATTTTCTCTAAGCCTACTTTCTGACTTTTTGTACAAAAGCCTTCAAAAACCATACTTATAGTTACACTAGCAAAAAATCCAATTAGGAACATTTAGTTTAATAGTTACCAGTACTTTTTGCACAAAAAATGTGGGTGTAGTTATGATACCTTGTTTACAATTCACTAAAATGAAAATGGGGTTCCATAATACCATCTTCTCTATTGCTTAAAACTGTTGTTACTTTAAGAATAACATTAATTAATAACAATTTGTTTCAACATTGACATTATTGTTAATTAACATTTACAAATTATAATTAATATGTTATGTAATATATATCATATGTACAAAAATTGCTCTGTAGCCAATTTACAATGAAATGCAACACTGAATTTACAATTGATCCATTTAAAGTTCATATCCATTGATCAACTTTACAAATTGATATGGAATGCTGAAAATTTCACATGATTTAGGAAGATTAATGGGCTGAAATTCACAATGATCTCAAAGATCAAAGAGAAAGTTTGTTTTTAAATAATGTATTATCATTATAATAATATCAATATTGCAAACAGACACCATTCTTAAAATCTGTCAATGAATAGACATTTCAAACAACATTTACAGTAATACAAAATTTCTGATGATTGTAAATTTATAAATGCTTTCTATTTAATTCAATAGACATCATTAATTATTGATCTAATTTTTTATATTTAAAATAATAAATAAGCTTAAACTTCATTCTGAAAAATACAATAGACTAATAATATTGTAATAATGATCTCAATGTTGATAATCTATCAGAATTTAACTAATAAAATTTTAGTAATGATTTTACAAAATTACTAATAACAATATTACTGAATTGATATATGCATATGTGTACTGTATATTCTAATAAAATATAATCTGTAATACATAATTGCTGTTATATTAAGATATTATAAACTTATATATAATATACATATTTAATAACATCTTTTTAACCAGTATATTTTTTAACATTATTTCAGTTTTCAGTTCTTTAATCTGTTTGCACTAATACTGTATGGTAAATATTGCTTCATCAAATTCCAGAAATGTTTTCTATACTGACTATTGTATTTCTGACTCTACCTTTTAGCTGGAGAAATGCTATGAAGAATAGGACCATTGCTGTTGACTGCGTGTTCTCGCCTGTTTTGACCGAGTTTCGCAAATTCTTTATAGATGATCCAAAATAACAATGCTTTTCATTGTAATCTCGATACCATAAACTTCTGGTTTATTGAGTCTTAAATCCTTTATATCTCCTCAACACTTTCATTCATATTAAATTCTAAAAACAAAATTATGATAAATGCAATTCATACAATTATACACAATTAAGAATTGAATTAAAATATAAAATAACATCAACTATGGTCTCATTACTAGTCTACATTTTAAATTATTGACAAATTAATTTCTGTTCTAATTATTTATCTTTTAGTTGCCATAATTTAAAGTATAAAATAAATCATGCATTTAAATCGTATATTATAAAATTCTAAACTAAAACTGCAAAATAGCATTGATGTTTTCTATAATAATGCATTAAATCTCTGAATATTCCAATTATTTAAATAATAATTGTGAGAATTACAGAATATTCTATAAGACATTCACAATTTTAAATTATTCATAAAATATAAATTATTATGCTGTACTGAACAAACAATTCAGCAAATTTTTGATATAAATTATTTATAATAGTGAGGATATAATCACTACTATACTTGCAGAATCATCATTTTGCTTCACATTTCTCTTATGAGAAAGCATATATTTTATTATGGTTTGAAAAACTGGAAGGTTTGCAGACTACATTATAGTTACTCATGAGAAACACAAAAAATTTGATTAATAATGTATTTGAAAAATTAAACTGCTTAATAAATAACTAGTCATCACAGAGATGAGAAAGTAAGTGCCACCTAAAAATCTAACAATCATCCAATTATCACTTTTGTGTTAGATTTGTCATAGAATTGACTATTTATGAGACCACTAGTCACACAAACAATTGAAAAGATAAGAATTGTAAATAAAAATTATTGTGTTAAAAATAATGTACTGACTCAATCCTTTCTGACATTAAGATTCAATAAACATAAATTT